TGGTCCGATTTCCTGCTGCCATCATTGATGATCGCCAGGTTAGCTTCAAGCTCCTTATCAATCAAATCCAACTGAATTTGTGCCTTCGCGCGGGCAGCCTGCAGTTCCAGCTGTTTTCGTTTGACCTCTGACGCCCTTGATAGCTTAGATGACGTAGTAGATTCGTTCTTCATACTCGTAGGATGTTGCCGTGATTGCTGCTTGAAGAGCTCCTTTTCACCACGTAGCGATATATTACTCCGTACCGTGCCACGCGGGGGAACTACAGCGGCGGCGTCCTTAGCGAGCACATGCTCCGATGCACATTCCAATCGATCGGTTAATTTATGACGTTCTTTGTACGATAACAGTTTATCACGCGGCGGTGTATTAAACATTGTACTGGTTCAGATTTGGCGAGAAGGATCAGCTTTATAAAGGATGCGAAATAAAAAAAACCAATTTTCTTAGATGTTGCCTAAGCACTGTCAGAGCACGCACTAAAATCAAGGAAAAAGGTAATTCTATATTTATAAGTATAGTGCGTACCCTCAGTACTTTTAATTTTTATTTATAATGGACTGTATTAATAATAAAACTATAAGTGGGTACATTTATATAGGTATACAAAAATAGGTGTAAAAAAGTACAAATAATAATAATATAAACTAAATCGTAGTGCGTCGCCTACAATTATCATTTATAGTAAGAAACTTTTACTTGCAACTTTGCTTTCGCTTGTCGTCCGGGATATAAAACTAGCCTAGGTTTTTTTCCGTCCCATATAGTAACCTCTGTGTATAACAAATTTTATAATGATTGGTCAGCCGTTAAGGCGCCGAGAGGTAACAAATAAAAAAACAAAATCGCTTTTACATTTACAATCATAATTACCATCACATCAGTCATTAATTGTTCACTCTTGAACGTAGATCTCCCCCGTAAGGTTTTGCCAGTAGTTGCCATTGTTAGCCGCAGTTTGGTAATGTTTTAAAAGGAACGCTGCTGCCCATCCCTCGACCATTAAATTAATTTATAATATTGATAAGTATTTATCTGAGAGTCATCAATTATAGTTATGTGATGATCCACGTAATGTGACATGTCTCTAATTTGATACATGTGTATAATAGTAGTTAAAAAAATCGAAACGCATTTAAACAGAATACGTGCGAGGTTTGTAAAATAAATATTCTACATCTCATCGTCCCCCAACATTTCGAATTTTCTCAAGCACAAAAATATATAGACAGTAAATACGAGTGTATTACAACACAAATACGAGTAAACATTGCAAATATTCACATAAAGCAATGTAGTCTAAATTTAAGCAAAGCTTTTAGTACGAGACAGTATATATACGTACTTTTCTTTTTTATGAATATATACACGTCCTTTAAAATAACCAGGTTAATGTAAGCCAATATATTTACGAATACAAATATTTGTATACTTGGATTGTCATCAATCAATATATAATATCATAGCTATCGAAAGATAAGGTTGTCTGTTAAATTGCTATATCACCAATGTCATCAAAAACTAAATATATTTAATTTTCAAATGTTTAAATTGGAACTTTAGGTCAAAATAGGTTCGTTTATTTAATCGTCGTTTTACTAACTCCCTAGATACAAAAAAGATTAATTTACTAAAACAAAAGCATAAGGGAGGGACATGCGTGAATAGATTGCACATTAAGACTGGTCATTTCGAGGCAACATAAAAAGGCTTTTTGCTAAATGCGTATTTATAGACATAGCAGGTGTTCCTGTCGTTCAAACTACTCCGTCTAATAAAGATACAGATAATAAACCTTAAATGTAATAAAATAATAAAGAAATTGTTTGATTATATTGGTAGTTACGTACATAGGGCTTCATAATTCCATTAATATTATTAATGTAAAAGTTTGTAATGTTGTTTGGATAATTATTTTCAAGCACGCTGAACGAATTTGAATGAAATGGTACAGAGATAGGTTGTATGCTAATTTAATATATAGAGGATAACTTCATATAATTATTTACGCGGGAAAAGCCGCTACAAGATCTAATTCTAACCTAAACATCCGAATTTTTTAATTCATCTTTGAATCATTTAAAAAACAATAATTGCCATTTGCTATAATGGGCACGAAAAGTCTTTGACCGGCGCGTCAGAGGTTTACATAAATAAAGCAAATGAGTTTGAAACTCTCGACACCAGGGAATGACACAATCTCATAAGTCGTTGTAGTTGTAGTAGTATTGTACGGTAACGAATATAATTTTTACATTCACTTCATCTATTTACCACACATATACATTTGCCTACAACTGACGAATATAAATTTTCACGCCACATACACTTATATCCTACTTTTCTTTTTACTTTTTTTCTTCTAAATGAAAAATGGAAATCATGTACTCATAGATATACGGTGTAGTTAAGTAAGGGGAATAAATTTATTAGTTCGCACTAATATTATTGTTACTTATATCTACATATTATTATTGTTATCTATATTTTTAAATAGTATTTATATAGTAATGTATTGGGTTGACTGGGAGAGATCTCTGTCAACGATAAGTCCACCTTTGCTCATAACATTTATAAATACATCATTTTATATGTAACTTACACGTGCAATAAAGAATATGTATTATTATCATTTGCAGTTTAACCTTTATTTCTATTTTTTTGTAATTCCTTAAATTTATATAAGTAATTTAATAATGTAAAGTACGGTAGCCTGACCTTTATAACACAGCATTTTCCTAGCATGGAGGCCAGAGATACTGTGAAACAATATGTAATGATGTACATCTTATAATCATCCAGTAAGCATCTGTATATTTTTGTTGAATACATTATTATAATTATATAAGTAAATAGTTAGTTAATAATAATTTGTAACATGATTATACACAAATTTCCATTAAAGTACTTACTTATTCGAAATTGATCATCAGATATTCTAACTGGAATGCAAATCCGAAAATCCAATGAATATTGCGGTGTAATTGTTAATTATGTTAGTTACCTACTTATGTTTGCGGTATTTGTCTATATTGTGTACGTATATCTCTATATCTTGTTAATATTATAAATACGAAAGTTTGTAAGGATAGATAAATGAATAGAAGATATATGGATGGATATTTGTTACTCTTTTACACAGTAACCATTGAAAGAATTTAAATGTTGTTTAGTACATGAGTAGGTTATAATTAAGATACCATATTATACGTAATGTACAGATTCACGCGGGCAAAGCAGCGAGATATGGCTAGTATAAAGTATCTCTATAATCTAATAGGTTAATCAGACTAATTAATGAGACTAATTACACAAACAAACTTAATAATCGTGCACTTTCTATTTTGGTGAGAAGCGCGACTAAGCGGTACTTTTCAAGAGAGCTTACTGGAAATAAGGCCGGTTAACTTACATAATCCAAGAAGGAAATATTATAAATAGCTCAAGATGTATTCATTGTTCTCTGTTTTGATATTTGAATGTTATTGTAATCGCTTTGAATAAAATTTAACAACTTATAACTTATTAACTGAATAATTTGTGTCATCATTAAATATAATAAATTGTCTAAATTTTGTTAACTTGTAACACTTGAGTCATGTTATGTATTTTGGCACAATAGGCAATCAACCGATTGTTACTTTACTTTCTGTTATAAATATATTTACAAACTAAGATAACAATTCTGCACTTTGCTATAGAACACAAAACGACCTAAACAATATAGATGTTATATTATTGATTGCACTAAAGTAGTAATGATAACAAATTAGTAACAATATATTAAATTTTGCCTACTTTAATTAGTGAATTTTAATTAATCTTACTTAATTAATCATATTCATATTATTCTTATTAATAATATGAATATGATTATAAGTTTGTTTGTTTGTTACCTGTTAGCGTCTTAACTAATCACTGTCAAATTTGGTATGCACGTATTATATGAGATGGAGAAGGACGTGGGCAACTTTTTATCTCAGTCTGTAAACGTATTTCGGTCACGCGGACGAAGTCATCGGTAAACATTAGTCTCGAATAATTACTTGCCAGATCACTAGTAAATATGTTGACATTATCAATAGTAACATCTATTCATAATTAAAACATACCTATACCCATTGAACAAAAATAAACTGTGTAAAAGGAAATAAAAACTGGTTTTAGAATGTGCAAATAAAGCTCTTTTATATGATATTCCATTTGGATTATTAGGTACATTTTTCAGGCCTTTACAAAGAATATAAAAAAAAATCTTTTGCAATACGTGTGGCTCAGTGAGTCAAAGCCGTACTATAAAGAGTTCCTTTTACCATTGTGTCGTTATATGTAGGAATATTTTGATTACTAACACAGGTAAATATTATCTACTATTGTATAGTTTTTAAAGTAAATTTGATAAGTAGTTAGTAATACTTAAGTTTTCTCTTTATTAACGTATAATAAGAGTATTATTTGTAAAATCAAAACAGTACTTTGTTACTGTTAACAGTTGAAGTCCTTGAGAGAACTTCCAAGTATATAAAATTCATGAAACCTTTAATCAATAACGTTATACTTACCTTATATCTTTGATATGCTTACATTACATGCTTACATATTAAAGGTTTGCATTGTGTCTGTTGTTATATCGACAAGTGTAATATTTATTAATTTAAACTTTATTGACCAATGAAATGTGGTACAATAGGCGAACTTAATGCTATAGGCATTTTTGTCAATCTTTTGGATGCGCAAATTTACTCGATGCCGGTTTTAAAAAATATGTAAAATAATATAACTACCTTTCACTCGGGACTTTGTCCGTGTGACCAGAATATGTTTACTGACTGAGATAAAAAGTAGCTTATATTCTTCTCCATACTGTATAGTATATGTACCAAATTTTACCAATACCAAATTTCATAGTGATTAGTTAAGCCGTTAATGCGCTATAAGGCAACAAACAGAAAAATAAATTAACTTTCACATAATATTAAGTAAGGTAATGTTCTCAACAGGTTCTTGGTGGATGGCTGTGCTTAAAACTCAATGACTCAGGTCGATCATATCAGCGATCAAGTGTTTGCGAAGGTGTGCCTCTGTCTGGTAAGATTTCTAATATTCAATTCTTTCAAAAAGTTACGAACCCGTTAATCTGATGCGTTATTTATTTTTAACGACTCTCAAAACTTTTAAAAAGGTTTTCACAATTTGTTTGTTTTTTTCGATTACAAGAATGTTACGCAAAATTTTTGTAAATTCTGAAACGACTTTCATAATTATTAAGTTTGATCTTTATGAATAAAACTGTGAAACCTCCTCCAGTTTAGTAGTGTTTCCGTGATACTGGAAAAAATATACAAATAAACGAAATTTCAATTTTGTCATCTATTGACCTTAGACGACGATTGACTTTACGACCCCTCCTTAGATTATATAGATAGAACATCGAGTCTCATAATCGGGTAAATTTTTTGCCAGCTAATTGCAAATTTGTTGACTCGTTATTTTATAAGTATCCTATATACTTATGCACATAATGTATCTTGATGTATCTATATTTCATTAGTTAATAAATAAAATGAGTTTTTACGCATTAAAAAGATGCAAAAATTATAAAATAAAAATATGAAAGTTATAAAGGAAACACTCAACTATTTATCACGCAAAATTGTATGGAAAACTTGACCCGCTTTTCTCGAAGCATTTGTATGAAGACACTATCTATATAACCTAAGGACCCTTCATATTTCTTAATTATCTCCCATGTACAGACATTGTCTAAATATAATTGTATTATATTAGTAAGATGAAGCTAGCATTTCTTTAAAGTGTCTATTGCAAAGCAAAATATTTGTTGTAAATACGAAATTTCATTTTTTAAAGTAAAATATTTGTAATATAATATGTCTATGAATCCTGCCAACTCAAAATAAACAATTAGGATACAGGTAAGAACATATTCCTACCTTTATAGACACATTATGATGTGAATAATGTCGTTATTCATGGACGTATGTTCACGTTTGCAGTCACTTTTTTGCGAAGCAACAGGTACTTGTTACTTTAGGTACCACAGCATGAACGAAACATTTTTTCTAGTGATACGTTTATGTCCGTATTTGTCCGTAACTTGTCTATCTATTTCCTATACAATTTGCTTGACAACTACGAAGAAAATATATCACCAGGACATAAAAATAATTGATGAATTATTCATTCATTCATCAGCGTTCATAATAAAAATATTTATTTTCTTTTCTACTTTTATTTACCTTTCTTTCTTTATACGTGTTATAGTCAGAGATAACAAAAAATGTATTTATTCAATTGCATATTCTGTGTAGTTATATTGACACAAACCTTACCCAATTCAAGTCATCATTATTCAAATAGATTTGTTTACAAGTACATTTAAATTGAAATATTTTTTTAAATCTACTACAGGGTTCGGAAAATTGTTATCTCTTGAGAAGAGTCTGCAAGAAACTCCACAGTTATTCTTTTAAATCTCTGTTAACATTATGTGTATTTATTTAAATGTACTGTCTAAAATTACACGGTTGTTAAAACCCATGTATGATCGACTAACACCATACATATTTGTAATTTAAGTAATCGTTTAGTATGTAATAATAGGCTTAGCTGTCTATGATCAGCTTAAAGCAAATTAGGCACTGGCCCACTAATTAGAATTTACTAAAATAATAAAAATTTTGCGTTAAAATAATTCTAACTACTTTAAGCTTTAATCGTGATCGCTTGTGCTCTTGTGACAAATTCTAATTGAGATTTAAAAATAAAATGGTAGCTAAAAGGAAAAAATATTTTCAATACTTTAAAATTTTTAATTAACAAACAACTCAAGTATACATATAACCTCTTATACATATAACCTTTGCTTTACCTGTCCATATCTAGTTTATTTTCTCGACCCTGTAAGTGTTATGGAAACTCATGACTGCATCAACCACAGATAAGTCAGTAAAATACTATCCACAAAACGAGTTCAATTAGATAGTTATTTCTCACAATCGGTGCGGTTAAACACAAGATTTCAGCTATAAACTGTAAATGCTTATTTTTAAAAAGGTTTTATATTTTCTTACATTAATAATAACTTCTTATTGACTAAATGAATGGGTATTTTATTTGCATTTGGTATAACAACATCTTACTTAATATAATAAATTTATAAGTAGACGATGTCTGTACGTAGAAAATATTTAAGAAAAACTGATATAAGGGATCTTAATAAGAGCAATAGAAGGCAAAACAAAAGTTTTTGTCGGTCTGACTGTTAGTTTCGTTATCACGCAAAAACTATTGCACCAAACTTCATGCGGTTTTCACGATTGTACTCCTGAAAGCCTAACATAATCTGGTGTTTATTTTATCCTTATACACCAACTCGAAGTAATTACCTGCTTCCAAAATTCACTGTGACCATATCATGCTTCTTCGTGGTCTGAGAAATATATTTAGATGTTAGTAACTCTATTATACTTAAAGGGTTGAATAGAAGGCCTATCCTGAAATGTTTTCCAAAATTTTGGGGTCGAAAGAACACAAATTTAATATTAAAAAGACATGATACATACTGTTTAAATATATTCAAAATGTTAAAATATCCTTCTTTTAGACTATTATGATAAGATTTATGACGAACGAAATGTTATGCTCCATTTATTGGGCCGATTTCGGTATGAACAAAAACAAGAAATCGAGTCGGAAAATTCGGGATCTCATTTCATGGTAGGCCCCCAGATTTCGAATGAAGTTTGATAAAAAAATTGAACTTTATTTTCAGTTAACACACAGTATTTTTCTCTAATTTACGCGGGCAGTCTTATTAAATCTAGTACATGCACGTAATGTAGTTGATTAAACTTATTTCATTAATTCAACAGAAATGATGGGCGTGAATGGAAATACAACAATAACACGACGAACCGTGGTCGGATGCAAGTGCCGGCTTGTTCGAAATGCAAACGGAATCAACAGCACCTCCACTAAGTGTCCAAACTGCGCTTCACTACGGCAAGTAAAGTTGCTTTCGCCCTCAAGTGTCACTGCGCCATCAGCACCAGCCCGGGCCCTCTCTGTACGCTCACATTTCTCCTAATTATCCAGACTGTTTATATTGTAATGTGTGACTTTCGGAATTATACAGGGCAAACGGATGTGGACAAATACGTGTGACATCATTGCATAGTAAGACAAATGAGCGGTAAGCTGTGATAAGCACATTAAAAATATAATCAGTGTTTTATATATTCCATGGCGCGTACCCGGAGCGTCGCATAAATTTCCGTAAAAAATAATGTGTTATTATTATGTACTCCGATCATGAGTACGAATATATTCCCTCTCGTGTAACAGAATCGAAGCCTCATTGCGCTCAGGCAAAATAATGTATTATTGTTCTACGTGACTTGGTAAATTATATGTTAATGAAATATACTTACGGTTAATTTCATATCTTATATTAATTTCTAAACTGTTCTTGTTTTAATCGATATCATAATTTATTGAAAGTTATGATATCGAATATAAGAATAGAAAATATTATTTTAATACTAGTTCTTAAGATTGTTTTATGTAAATCTGTGGCACATGTATTAACAGTCATTTTATTTATTTCTATGACCAAGTCTAATCAAAAAGCTAAATCGATGCAGTCAAGAGAGAGGTAATATAGTAAATAAAGAAAATTATAAACATCCGTTTACGAGAGCGTTCTGTAAATGAAAGTAATCATTTTTCCTAAAGGAACACGAGTCGAAGTCTAAAAAATATTATTTCCTTCCGGATTAATTTGACAACTCAACGGGCCACTTACTATGGCTCTCTCATTTTTTTATTGTTTTCGATTATGTATTTCTTCTGAAAAATGTTTAATTTTACTAATAGCATACTCTGTTAAAATATTAATAATGATGTCAATTTTATGGTTTATTAAAGATGGAAATTAACTCGATCATTTAGGTAAACTGTAATAATTTATTTGGGTTGTCTCAACGTTTCGATCACCGACATGTATGCATAATATAAAGAAATGAAAATCAACAAAACTACCTATATAACCAATGATCATCACATATAGCAGTAAATACTACATTATCGGAATATGGTGTAATTAAAAGACAGCTCGTTAACTTATAAGGGTTAAAGCTACTTACATCTTTACGCTAGTAAATCCATTTTTTTTCTTATTTTACATAACGAACTAACTTGACAGATATGTTTATACTATGTTTATACTCTTTCCTATGACAGTTTTGTCAAAGGAAAGAGTAACAAATTTAAACATTTTTAAATTTGTTACTCTTTCCGGACAAATTTTTTAGTTTTTTTTTTAATAATATTTATTAGATTTCAACGAATATTTGACATAGCCGAATTGCTACAGCCGTTCAAGAGTTTTTTATTTATCGATTAACACAAAAAAATATATGCCAAAAGTGCCAATTCTTATTATAATAAACTCATTTTATTTAGCGTGGATGGAAGCCTTCAGTTACTCTACATATGTTATAAATAAAAAAATATACAAAGATATTTGCATGTTTGTTACTTCATTTATGTTAAAGCGACAGAATGTATTTGATGAAATTTGGTACTCATATAAATGAATCATATTCCTATATTAACACGTAGAATAGAGGACTTCTTTATTATAATTCACGAGGGCAACGTTCGGGTTACACCTTTTTCTTTGTCGCGTTTTCAGAATCGTGATCACATGAGGTCGTTACTTTTTGTACCACTTTCTTCAAGCCATGTGATTTATGGCTATACGAAGACATTTTTAATATAACTTGAAATGTTGAATAAGCTGACAGTCTACCTGATGAAAAATGCTAGCTGCCTGTATACTAGAAAAGCACTGTAGGATTTATAGGATATTCTGTGACTCCCTTTCACTCGTGAGAATACGATGAGACATATATATTAGCCGAAGTGAATTAGAATATTTTTCTGTATTTTATTATTTATATGGCTTCACTATTTTGTAATATTTTCACAATTAAGTTTGTCTCTTTGTATTTATTGTGTTGACTAACTATATATAATTACGAGTAAAAAGTTATTTAACTATTTCTATACCTACACTTGCTCGTTGGTGACGAAATGTTAAATGTAACTGCCGTTGATTTTTGGTGTGATTTTATTATATGGCAAGAGTTCAGTTAGCAGCTAATAGATCAGATAACTGCTTAAATGGACTGATCCATTACCAAATTACTAGATGATTAGCTTGCATCCAAATGCAAAAGACCAATCTTTTGTGTGTTTATTATGCTCACGGTCATCTTTTCTAATCACGCAGGCACTTACCATGAAAATTAATCCGAAATGTAAAAGAATAAATGAATAAATTGGACCATTTATATACCATATTGTATATAAACTTTTCAACACTCAGTTTTCGAACCCGGTTTTAATATAAACGTATTGCATCTTACGCACGTGTTACAATAGAGCCCCAGCTATCATTAGACTGCCCTATTCTGTGGTTTGTTTAAAATCAAATTGTTAAATGGGTTGACAAATCGTGCATTAGGAATATGTTACAATTGGTTATATTTGATAGCACAACCTTTTAGCCTTGGTCCTAGAAATATCCTTTTTAAATACACTCAGCACAAAAAGTCAATGAACACATGTAGATTTCTAAATCTGCTAAATTTCGCTACATACACAAGACTGCCAAAATTTAAATTACAGTCCAATGTATATAGTAAAAAGTTAAAATTAGCTAAATATATACAACGAATTATATACAGTACTGTGTATAAGGATTCTAATTTTTTTTTATGTGTCCATCGACTCAACGATATAATCAAAACTTGGAAAGATAAAAACTTATATACGAGTTGCTTAATATATTTTATCATTTATGTAAAAATGTCATAAGAAATATATAATATTATGTTATTTAATAGTGAAATATCATTTATACAAAATTTTAAAAGTAAAAAAAAAAGTATTCCTATAAGACTATTTCATATCAGAAGAAATATAGGAATATGCTGTTAAATGCATGCTGTACATTTATACATGTAGTTCAATAGTATTTGTAAAAATAAAAATTTGTAACAATGTTCAATGTTACTTTAGTAGTCTTGGGTCAAGTACTGAGATGCATCTTCTATTAACATGATTATTTTATTAAGAACTTAACATTATTTCAAAATCGTAAAGTAATACTTCTGTACTTTATATATTATTTATTAGAATAAATACAGAATTTATTTTCAGTGAAATATTGGCTTGTACCCAATGACAAGCGGAATTTCGACTTTATTGTGCGGGATTAAAATGGGAAATATGAAGATTGATCGACTTCCGATCTATATACGTGAATGTTATTATCCCGAGATATTATTGTGTAAAATACATGTTGTTAGATATCAAAATGTTAAATAAATTACTGTTAATATTACAGAATCACAGGATGCTTTTCTGGGCCCTAATTTTGCTATTGTTATTACAATATCATCATCATCATCATTTATCGTCGTTCAACTGAATATTTATGTTAGTGTTTAAGATCTACAAAGTGACAGTTCATTTTGGTAACTAAATTCTATAAACGTGAAAATGCTTTCAATGCCTTCATGCTTTCAAGTATTTATGTAGTTTTATGGGTTGAAGTTGAATTCACTTTAAGTGCACTAAATATATTAGAAAGCGTCAGTGTTATATCGAAAATTATTTATATTCAATTATTTTTGAAGCAGATAGGTTTACTAACCTAATCTAGTTATAGTATTCAGTTATAGTTTTTTTTTGGAATACTTGTAAAGTATATATCTATGAATGTTTTGTTTTCTTATAGTATTATTGTTAATATTAAAAGTACAATGAAATAACTTGTAATTAACCACAATTAGGGCCCTAGAGATTTGCATGTTTATGTTTAGAATTTCATGCCAGTAAGTATGTACTTATTAAAAGAGTAATAAATGTTCTCAATGGATATTGTTTCTTTTATTTATTTATAATTACAAAAGTGTACCTACTGAAATCTTAACTAATATTATTTTATAGCTATTTGGAATCACATTAATATATTAAATGCGAAAGTTTGTAACAATGGATGGATGGATGGAGGGATAGATGGTCAGACTTTCACGCAAAAAATACTTAAATACTTAAACAGATTTGAGGTACATGGGTAAGTTATATCTTAATATAGCATATAGGTTACTTTATGTACGAAGTCAATCGGGCGGAGCCGCGGGACACAGCTAGTAGTAAATAAATTGAAGTTTATCACAATGTGAAGTGATATCCGAACAAAATAATTGTTTTATGCAAGCATAGTTAACTGAATGTAGAACGCTTATAGACATTCGTTGGTTAGTGCTTAATAAGACATTGTATCCTAATTTGAGAAGCAGGTAATTGGTGTGATTGTGTAGCATTTATTTTTTTTATTCCATAAAGATAGTAAACAAGCATACAGCCTGTCAGATGGTAAACGATCACTGTAGCTTATGTAATTATTATAAAATACTCGTACGCTGTAATGCTCAAGGTTCTCTCAACCGTTGCTATTACTGAGGTCTATGATGTTATGTCTCCTATCCTGTTATTTCGCTTCCAGTGTAATTTTTATAGAAAAGAAAAAAAAAATCTTACGTTTCTTCTTTGTCTTGTAATCTTTTTTAATTTACTTTCCTACTTAATTTGCTGGTCATGACATGAATAATAAGTAGGTATTCCAAAGAATAGGTAGGTTACCAAAGTTTGACGACCTAATTTTAAGGTGAATGTTTCATGAATATTAAATAATAGACTACCGTTTAATTCAATTCATAGCACGTAACAATATTAAATCTTACATCACAATAATTTTGTTTAACACGTATAATTATTGTATTTCCGAAACAATCTCTTGTTAAATATTTTGATTTAATACTTCAACCAAGTTCAACGAAAGAAGATTCACATATGTCATTTAAGCAACTGGGAATGGCAATCGTTAGCCGTTGATCACAGTACACATTACTTATTAGATATCAAGGATGTCACAATGTAATATAGGTGTCATGAATTGCCTTTTCTGAGAATTTAGACGTTATGCTTTCGAACCCAGTAATTGGTCTGCCGAGCTGACCTTTCATAATACAGCTATACATGCACAGCTACTTCACAGTAGAGACATGCGGTATCTATGCAACCGGCTTTTATAACATAACAAAAAGGATATAGATATACACAGACTATTAATACAGAATATGCACTACAAAAAAGCGGCCTTATATAAAATCATTCGCGGGTAAGATTTGCTAACCAATCGTCTTACCAAAAATAAATTGTCCTGTTTTTTTTTTCAAATTTCCAACCATTCGAAATTCTGTAGAAATTGTTGTTATCATCGCCATGTTAGTCTTTACGTTAAAAATCAAGTCTCAATTAAAAAACAAATAATGATAAATTGAATTACATAGTTTGGCGGACTGATATGTAAAGTTGATTCTAAAATTATAGTATAATTAAAAAATAAATAAAGAAATTCTTAATTTACTCACACCTATTAACAACTCAGCCAATTTAGAAATGGTTATAGTATTTATTTTGCAAGCGACAGGGTTCGCTTCTATCTTAGTCCCCCATTAATTTAGTCAAGATTGAAGTCCGCTTTTTTGTGGAGCCAAATCCTAAACACAGAATACGCATCTGGAGGGTTAAATCGCCATTTACAGGAACCGTAATACAATTCATTTCGTAAAACCCGACTTGTTTAATAGGTATCTCGTGCTGCGGATGTAATATAAATGAACTAGCAAATTCAGAGTTAAAGTTTACTGAAGAGAGACATTGAATAAAAGTCGCAGATGAATTTTATACAAAGAGATCACTTACATACTTGAGCTCGCCTGTTGTACATCATCATTTAATATGGACTTTAACTATGTAATTTTTGTGTATAATAAAATATACATAAATAAATAAAGTTTTGCTCTATAAAATCTAGACTTAAATACCTTTATCGTACTCGTGTTTCTGCATTTGCTGCTGCACGTTTGAAGCAGTGTAATTGCATAGTTTGGTTTCTGTCCAAAGGGTAGGACATGCAGAAAATTACAGACCACAGAGGCAACTTAGTCTACAGAAATAGCGACACAAGTTTGCACTTATAGGAAATGAGTCATATTATAATTCCATTATGATAAAATGTCGGTTTCTCTTATTGCATGTTTCTGTGATAAGAAGTGAACATATATGTGTACTTATATGATTATTTCTATAGTATTAATATATCCATAATCATCAATCATTATCGGTAATTGGCGTGGCAGGTTGTTTCGCTTACTTGACTCACGTCAAGCGCCCGTAATCATAACCTAACTAGGTAAATAGGTGATCTCACATTTGTTTTACACTTATAGTTTGTGTATATATATATATATATAGGATCGTAGGAAAAAAAGAACAGCGATATGCTCTTGTTCAAAAAAACACGACATGTTTTATAAAATACTATAGAAGTAACGATCATTTTCCATTAAGTGACTCGTCTTTTGTCATTATAGTTGTATAAAAAATCGAGAGTTTCCTCTATTGAAGCAAATAGCTAGTGCATCTTTTTTCAATTGATTTTATCCCAGGTCATATTCTTGATCTTTCTATATGACATGGTACCTAGCCTTTCCTTTATCTCACCCATAAAGGTGTTATTTTTTATTTTTCTATTCTACTTTCTACCTTTCTTTTCAAGATGGTCTAGCAATCAAACAGTAGTTAAAAAAACTTCCACTGTTGAAGTTTAATACAATTTTAATTTCATACAATTGTAAAAATGTAAAACGAGCCGTGGAAGGTATAAGACGGCTTTGTGACCTCTGTAGATATTATTGCAGCAGAGGTAAGGTGGCTATTATCTTGTGAACTATCCTATTTTGAAAATATACATGAAGAAGCCGGAACGTTGCCCATCGACACGAGTTTAGGTACAGCGGAGTCGCGTTGTTGTAGCGTAGATCGATGTTTTAATATGTCTCAGGTGTACCGTGTGTAAATCCGCGTATATCGGCAATAATGATCAGTAAATACTGACAATTAACACGGACCGACTGACTGTACCGAAAATATATCACTATGTTATCAGCGGTTTCACTGTGTATTCATAGTATATATGTAAATTATGATGTTTATTCATCTGATCTCTTACCCTTAGTACATAATTATAATTTTAATGTAATTAAGAAAAAAAATCTCAAAGAAAACCCTTATCAATTATAAAATAAAGTGGGTTGAATGAAATTTAGAATAAATTAATGCCTATCGAGATAAATGTAATGCCAAGTTAAGAAATATAGATGTGCCAAATGAGATTGTAAAATGTTATGGTAAATAATGTATATTTATAGTATATTTACAAAAGTATTGTAAACATACTATGCCAAATTGCTAGTAATATTTATATAAATAGTAATAATAAAAATATTTGTGATAAAATGGATCATAAACGTACTTTGTCAGGTTGGAATAGGCATGTGTGTAAGGCTCATTTGAGTACCAGACGACATTTTAGTCGATGGTTGTATTTTGGCAAACCTAGCAGACCGTTCGAAGAACTTGTGTCGCTTAAGATATTTAAGGGTAGATTGAAATAGTGTCAGCCACATCAGCAACAAATAACAATGAAGCAAATAGCCACACATCACTCTATGGGTGACTTTTAGAGACTCTTAACAATAACCAATAAGCTAATTGTTAAGTCTAGCATTCCAGTGAGTATTTATTGTGCTTTCAGGTCTTTACATATGGGTAGGATATTTAAGGAGCATTTTACAATGCATTCCGTTTGCAACCGTCGGGTTGAGAGGTCAATGTTAGTAGTCAATATACAGTGTGAACGAAAATTGTAACCAAAGACATTGAACGTGCAATTAATAAAATAAAGAAGGTTAAATCATCAAGGTACGATGACCTCAGCATTAAGCATCTGAGACATGCTGGCTCTCATCTTACACGGCTGCTCGCAATGCTATTCAATGTACTTTACGTGCAATGTAAAGTCACTCGTATTTACCTTTAGATTTGATGTCAACTCTAGTGGTACCTCTTGTCAAGAGCAAGACGGGGGATATATCAGATAAATCAAATTATAGATCCATTTCCTTGGCAACTAATATAGTTAGCCAAGGTATTTGATAGGGTACTGATCTATTATTTATGTAAGCACATAAACTTTAATGACGGACAAATTGCGAGGCTTTGTCGGTCCGCGCTAATAAGTTGGCCTGCAGATTTGCACGATGTATAGATGCAGTGAAAATAACACTATTTAAAGCGTACTATTTACATCGTTATATTCGGCGAGACTGTGGTTCCGGTATACCCGGGGGCTTGCAACGTTTAGCGTATCCAATTTAATAACAATTTCAATTTGCTGTTGTGGCTCCCGCGCTTCTGTAGTGTCTCAGCGATGTTTGACGACGCTCGTACAGATAGTTTCGACACAATCTGGTGTAAAAAGACAATTTCGTTCTTATATAAAATACGTGGAAACAACACTGTCGCTGATTCCTGTTTCCTATCCTATCCTAAACATATTTGGAAATAAATTAGATAGACCTCTCATGAGAATGCTTGCCGAGAGGACTAGATCATTATTAGTAATTAACTATTTCATAGATTTTAAATACACTTACTAACAAAAACATGGTAACATCATTGCCATGAAAGTAATACTCAATATGTTCAAATAAATAATTAATTTCTTATCAAAATTTAAATTGCCATATCATCCCTATAATTTCTTGCCCTCTCGGTGCGAAGTTATGTGTACATTATATAAATAGGAAATAATTTACTGGTCAAAAACATTCAATCATACTCTTAATACCTGAATCTATTTACTTGTTAATAAATGTGTTAAAATAGTTTTAGATTATTCAAATATTGCACAGGTATCTAGTTAAAGTAACGACACTGTTTTAC